TGGTTTCACTTTTGATTTCTTAATGTGGATTAGTTACTGAAATTGAAAAATTATTTCTGTAATTGCAGAGGAGACTGTAGCTGTCAGTTCTAAGTCACATTGTAGTCAAGCCTGCTTCCGGGTGGTCAGCTAGCTTTCTCTAGTTCCTTAGTTTTATATGCAAACATATCCTATAGGATAATTTTTATATACTGTTATCTACTTTGATAGTTTCTGGTAAGCTCACATATAAAATCCATTACAGATTTTTGCAAAAATGCTTTTTATTTACGCTAGCAATTTAATTTTCAAGTGAAGTTTCCAACAGTCTCAACTATTTGAAGAAGAATTTTCATTGATTACATGCTGTATTAAAATGCTTTATTAAAATGCTTTCAGCTGCATATTTTGCTCTGGTGGAAAAAGTGCCATTTGATACTAATGATCTTCTGGGAGCCTTGGTGGCATCATTGAAAAGATAGTGTACCTAGCATGACAATGCCTTTTGGGATGCAGCTCTGATACATCTAGGATATTGATTGAAATACAAGATTTCAGAGGGCGGTACTCATTTCCCTTGTATGTTTTTTCTCCTATTTAATATATTGTCATGGAAAACACTACAAGTGGCTGAGATAGCTCAGTTGGTAGTGCCTACAGGAACTGGCTGCATATGCATTCTTGCCTGTTGAAATTTCAAAATAAATCAGAAGTTTAAACAATTATATTGATCTATAAAGCAATATTCAAATAGGTAAATAAAACCATATGATGAATACTGGTTTTCTGTGTTGTTCCTTGGTTTGTGGGTTGTTTTTTTTTTAAAGGAGGTTTAATAGTATCAGCTGTGCTTCGTAGTACATGCGCATTAAGAGATGTTACAGTAGTGTGGTTTGCGAGTGAAGAGATTGCATACTCTTGAGTGTTTAAGCAATAGAGCGTACCAAGGAATTTGTGTGTATAATGAAAGGTAAAAGAAGTGGCTTCAGAGATTAAGCTTCTAGGTTGTTTTCAAATGCAGGAAGAATTATACCAAAACAATGTCAATTGCACATAGGTATTTAGCTTCGCTTGTCTCTTAGCTTTCATAAGAAGTAGGAGGATTGGAGGAGATCGTTTAAAAATATCACAGATGAGAGGTACATCTGTATGAACAAGTTTTTGTGCGTAACAAATGTGCATGTGTATATATGAGGTGAAAAAAACATTTGTAAATAAGATATAAATGCAGTTGTTTTTTTTGACATATGCTAGTTTGAATGATTGGCAAAAGCTGGTAATGCTCTTTTTTGCTTCTGCATCATATCCACTTCTGTGTTGCTAGTATCTTCAACTACAAGCATGAATGCATAAAAACTTATTTGCATAGTTGCTACAGCTACAAATTTGTTTAGCTCTCCCAGTGGAATAAGGAGGCGGTGGAACGTGAGGGATATGCATTATTCAGGCAAGCGTAGTGAGTAGGTAGCGTTCTGTAGGCTGGCAATGGTATTAGAACGTGGCATTTTGTTTGCTAGTACTGTTTTGCAAAAAAGCTGTCTACATTTAGGTATGGCTCTTCTTTCTTTCCATTTTGTGCCTCCCTGTGTTACCTAGTAAAAGTGCACACTGTATTCACTGGAGTAGGATGAACTACAATAGCTGTAAAATGCTTGGAGGTTGCAGCTGTTCCAAGCAAGAATGAATACTCAGTCCTCAGTCTTCACATCACAGGTCCTTGGGAGGAGTGCTTTAACCTAGTATTGTAACCATACATTTTATAGTAACTTACTGTGTCAGGTGATGTGTGATAAGAAATGTTCATATAACCATGGGAATTCCTGTACCTTAAAATTTCCGCTTTTTGTGGCAGGTTTCATGTGAATTGCTGTCCTCTGTCAGTACAATAAAACTCTGAATCGTGTAGGCTGTTATAAGAGTTGACTAGAGTCTTGAAAGACTGTGAGGAATGAACATGCCCGCTATTATGCTCTGCTTGGATGATGGATACACACGTACTGAGTTTATATTCTGGGGTGCCTTTATTTGTTGGATCACGTGATGGTGGCTACGGTCTCCAGGTTGCAGAGAGAAAGCACTTGCCGATTACTTTATATGCTCAACAATTTTGACTGCTGTTATAGAGAGCGTTTGGAATGATTTGCTATATGAAGTTATGGTATTATAGGCACATCAGGAGTTATTCTGACACGGATAGTGAAATGAGCAGAATAGCAGCATCTTGGATCTACAAGATGATTCTAATGTATCTGTTGGTGAAGTACTTAAGAACTAAACCTGGCAAGTTAGATTTTAAACACTATTATGGTATACAGAGCTGCATAAAGCATTTTCAAAATTGCCTCAGCATTTAAATTCCATTGATTTCAAGTGTTTATCTGGACTAAAACCAGTACATCTAAGTTGTTACATACAACTTGCAAAACAAAGCTTTTCCATTAAGTATTATTTAAAAAGAAAAAAAATGAAAAGATAAAAGTCATCTACAACTGATGGGCTGATTCCAGGGATACTGCACAGCTCAGCAAGGCACTCCAGCTTGGGGGGGGCGGGGAGGGGGGGGCAGGGAGAAGTGTCATGGCCTTGCTGTAGAAATAGTTATGCTGTACATGACACAGGTGACCTTATCCACCCTTCTGACATGCACAATCCCAGTGTTGGTGCTGCTGGTGTCTTGTCTTGCCAGCAGGTTTGCAAGAACACTGGATAGCTTACTGTGGTCTGTTTTGACCCATAAACTTCCATTTCAGTATGGATGAGATAATTTAAAATGGTTTACAATACTGCATGTTGGCTTCACTAAATTACATGTTACATGCTTATGTATGTGTAATGAGCCTTACAGAGTCACTTGCTGTTTTGTCTCAATGCCTATTTCTGATGTCCTTGTTATCTTTCAGTGCCACTTGAAGATGAGAAATTTTAATCCTTACCTCTCGTCGCCTAGGGCTTCGTAGTAGGTGGAGAATGTTTTTAAGGGGTTATGTTAGAGCTTAGGAGCCCCAAATGAAAAAGCACCACACATCCTTGAAGAGTAGGTGGAATCGCTAGGAGTTTAGGGTGAGATTTTTAAGGTCTCAAACCGTTATTTATGTCTTCAAGGTTACTAGGATGCAGCTGTGATTTCTTTTATATTTGGCAAAAAGTGTGTAGTGCTTGCTGTTTTTGTGGGGAATGCGTAAAATAATGTGCATACACATTTAAGTTATGATCTTGACTAACTTCACTAAATAACAAAGAATCCAATTTAGAAAGCTATTGTAAAATACTATTGAATGGTTCATGAAATGAAAATTTTTGTACCAAAAGCAGGGTTTGCTCTAGTTCCACCACTGGTCCCTCTGCTGACTTGACCTCTCTCCCTTTCCTGGGTTAAGAAACAGTGTTCTTCACCTCCTACTGCTTGTAATTGGGATGTCTTTGTGTATTTTAGTCTCCCCCACCTCCTTTGTCTCTATACATGAGATGAAAAAAAATGAAAGGTGGCAAAAGGCTCCTGTGAATTTGAAGATTATTAGTAGAATTAGTATCAGATAATGTAATAATAAGGACTGCTGTCCAAGATACAAAAGACTTACTGGATTATGTATGCTACCATGTTGACACAAGCTAAGGTGAAATTTAGATGACAATTACTAAACAAATTACTGTTGTTTGCTAATCTAATACAGTCATATCTGATCAATGAAAAGATCATCTCTTATAGGAAAAGTTCCAAGCTGAAAAAAATTTCATTATGCGTGTGCCAAAGTAAAGGCCTCTGGTGTTACTGTCTTCTGAGGCATACTAGTAATTTCACAAGAAATTATTAGATAGTCCAAATTCCCGAAGTTTGGAAAATTACTGGAATATTTCTGCGTCTGCTTTGCAGATTTCTAGGTGAGTTTTGTGGGAAAGGGTGTCCTCCAACAGAGCAGACAGATAGAGCAGAGATTGTAAAATAAATAGGAAAAAAAGGGAGACTGATCTTATGTGATTTTCAGAGCACAGAGACTGAGAACTTTGTGTTCTTGATCTAGACATCAGCCAAATTGCTTGCTATCTTGGGATGGAAAAATTAATGCAAGGAAGAGTGAGGCTATATATCCTATCACAGGCTGCATTTGTTTTTAAAAAATGATTCAAATGATTATGAAAGGGATTGTTTGTTTACAGGTCTACAAAAGGATCTTAGAGGCCACCCTTTTCAGCACAGTAGCTGGACAGGAAGGAGGGAGCATGGGGCTTTTCAAATGCTGTCAGCTGTGTCAAGCTTATGGTGGAAACTTCACAAAAAACCTGAGGAGAGATTTGTGTTGACTGAGCCAGTGAGGGAAGCTTAGACAGTAGTTGGAGGCGGTAAACTGTATTGTGTGGGCTTATATTAAATTTCTCCAGCTGTGAAACTTAACATTAACTTACAGAGTACAGCACACAGTGGCCATAAGCATAACAGAGATTGGGCAGAAATTTTCATTTCAGTGAAAACTAGGCATTGCTTTCATAGAGAATAATTATTTTTGGAGATAAGAGGCAAGGAACTAGCTGAAGCATTCTTGTGTGTGTCTTGGTAATAGACTTACTTGACTTATGTTTCATAATCTCCTGAAGGCAATATTAGAGAGATGGTTTTTTTTCCATTTGCCTTGGTCAGGGAAGTAGATAGATGAAAACCGTGCTTTATATTTTATAATCTTTCTTTAATATTGTCTGTTCCAGGGATTTGTGTTACTAACCTTGACTGTTCTAAACATAGATGTTTTTCTTCTCTTCTTTAAATAATGAGGTAGAAGAGGAATTTTTTAATATATACTGTTAATTCAAGGTTTGTGTTGTGATTTTGGTACTTGATAATGTAAAACAAATAGCGTACTTGTAACATTGAAAGGGGGAAAAATGCAGTGGGGGTACTGTATCTAAAACTGTACTGAAGTAGTTTGTTGGAGCTGTGGAGAATTGACTCTTCTGCACAAAGGGCTGGGTTTTTTTATGCTTATATACCTGCATTAGTTCAAAGTCATTGTATTTGTTCACAGTTTCATTTCAGGTAGTGACATGCAGTAGTGGTTCTGTTTAGCTTCTGCAGTTGGGAACCAGAAAGCCCAGCAACATGAAGGTGAACATTTTTTACATCACCATTCCATAAGAACTGATTTAACTTACAGTCTTAAAACAACAGTTCTGACACCTCTACACTGATGCTCCACATGTTTGCCTTGTAATAATTTACACTTTAAGATCTGAAACCGTGTCTAACCGGTGCAGTATCAAAGCACTTTTGTGCTCTATTTTCCTAATGAGTACCTAATTGTGCTCTCAGTTCAAGTCCCAATGGCATTTTTCCACTGGTATGCCCCTGCTGTGTCCTCATATTAGTCTGCAAATTTCTTTTCATTCCAGTGCAAGCTAGCATTCTTTAGTAGTTGTGAGGGAAAACTAATATTGAAAAGCTGGCTTCTTTAAGTAGACCCCCTTGCTTTGCATTAGGTGTCTTGGGTAAGGTTTAATTTTTGAGAGTGGTTGTTTTTGGGTTTTTTTTTGCCTAGGCCATAGCAAGAAAAAAAATCACCACATGAAAGAGTCAGGAAAACTACTTAGAAAAGCAGTGAGCTGATATGTCTTGAAAAGCTTTATATTTTTATGTATAGAACTTAATATATAAAAAGTACAGGTGACTCATGTGAAGCTCTTTATGTCCTTTTTCCTTCCTAAATGTGTTTTGTAGACATAGGGCTGACTGAGCACAACTAATAGATATGCAAGTGCTTAGGGTGTAGAGTCAGTGGCCACCGAATTTGCTATCTGTTTAGTGGAACTGTGTCCTTATTTTATCTATTTTTTTTAAAACAAAGCTGCTTGTTTGCTCAGAGCTTGGTGCAGTTGTGGGACTTTGGCACTGGGCCCTCTCCTTGCTAAAATACCGGCATGTCAGTCATTCTTGGATACGGACTGGTGCTTCTCTCCTGTTTCGGTTTGTCACTTTTCTGTGGGTTGTTGCCTCTATTGAGGGTGCTATACCATGGGGCAATAATCCTGCATATAGGTACCTGTCATGTTACCTGATACGTTGAATCTCATGGCTTGGCATTCAAGGCAGATCAAAGAACCAAAGCTGGACCCGTGCTTGTATGTGGAAACAGCTGAAATCAACGTTCAATATAAATAGATAAAGGTGGATGTCTCTTTGTCTTAGCTTCAAACTCTGATTGCTCAGCCCAATCCATCAAAAAGTAATTAATTTTCAATGCAAAGTGTTAAACATGGCTGAATAAAGAGCTGTAAAATTGAAATTTAAGTGCATTGAAAGTGAATATCCCAGTTCATTGAAAATGTCCTGTGAATTATTTTTCTGTGGGGGCCAGATGAAACAAAATTAATTACAATGTTTAAATTAATAAATTAAAGTAGTGTGAGCTCGTTGTTTTCAAGGAGATCAATGTTGCCTTTTCCATTAGAAAAATAGCACATGGAAAGAAAACCATAATAAAACTTTTGTTAAGTGAAGACGAGGTAATGCAGGATTTTCTTCAAAGAAAATGCCTTAGGAAACTGTTTAGCAAGATAAAGCAATTTGAAGTCTAGGCCTATTTTTTATTATTAATTTGACAGGGATGTGAAATTAAAATAATCCATCTCTTTGAAAAGTCTTAGGTGTAGAGGTGGGAGGAGAGGATGGTATGTAAGCCTTTGTATTTATACCTGCTCTTGTCCCACTGAAGCAGCTACATTTGGTGAAACTTGTTTTTCCAGGTTACTGGGCTCAATTTTTCAAAGCTCTTCAGGAATCTTACATAGAGAATTACATCTTTCCATATCTAGCTGACACTGATTTCTTTGTTTCATTTATCTTTGTTTCAGATTTGTTACTCTTGCCTATGGACCTATTGTGGATTCAGTAGTACTGAATTTATCTGCCTTTATTTCAAACTGAAAAAAAAAAAAAAAGGCAGACTGTTTAGTGGAATCCATTGCTCGGTGATGTTAAGTCAAGCATTTACAGAAACATGTCAAACTGAGTGGCATTATAATAGGTCTAGATGGGGACTAGAGAATAGAAAACAAAGGAAATCTGTAGGACAGATTTGTTTTGTGTTGAATATCCTGATAATACTTAATCCTAAAGAAGGCAGTGTTTTGGAAAACAGATGATACCTCAGCCAGACTACTATGTTATCCAAATATACATCAAAAAGACATATGTATCTGAGTATTTTTGGATGGGTGAAGGGCAGTTAAAACGTGCTGCTTTTTTTTTTTTTTTTTTAATTCCTCAACTTTCCCGTACTCAAATGGATAATACTAACTTACTGAAAACTGCAAAGATGCTTTTGGAAATGTGACTAAGATACTAGAAATTCCGGAATCTTGGTTCTTACTGATGGTATGGAGCAGGCTGAAAAGTTGTGTCTGGCAGTATTGTATAGATTTGTTTCCTTTTCCTGTTTTTTATCTGCAAAATATATAATTATTTTAGTGCTGTCTTTTCAGAGACATTATGGGGAAATTGATATATATTTAGATTGATATTTTAATATTTTTTGTTGTTGTTGTTTGTTTTTTTGAGAAAGTGAATTAACTTTCTTAATAGATTGCAGTTTGCGAGGGAAGGCAAAACAGGTGTGGCTCCATGCCACCATTCGCTTTGGTAGGGCCTTGGAAAGCCAGGCTGACCTACTGCCAAAGTAGATTTATAAAATATTTGTTGGGGCTTGCATCTCCCAGAGGCACCAAGGGTAGTGAGTATGGGTCTCTTAGGTGCGCCTGCTGACTTTGCATCCCGGATCTGCCCACTTGAAGCTGATTTGGTGGTCGTCTTTGATCCTGGCTCAGTTCTATACACATTTTTTAGTAACTTCAGTACTAAATTAACTTTTTAATCAGGAAATATTTCATTTCTATGATTTAATTTTATTTTTTACAGATTTAGAATATTTAGTTAGTGTATCCTGCTTTATCTAGGGAAATGTTAGGATTTTTCTGATATGGATTTTGGAAAGTGACGATTTGACAGTGTGTACACACTGAACTATTAGTGTTGGGAAGAATTTGTAGAAAAGGATGAAAAAGAAGGGTTTGTCCCTTTTGGAAATCTATCCAGGTACTCCCTTACTTGCTAGTATATACTAGTATAATTGCTCACTTGGGTGTTTATTTTAATGTATTAAGGCCTTTTTTTTTTTAACCTTGTTATAGCTTAAACTGTCTCCTAATATAGATGCTTATAAGTAAGCTTGGCAAGCCTGGATATCTGGAGTTGGTAGTGGGTTAGGTCTGAGACTTCAAGAGGATGAAAGACACCAGGGTGGGCTTTGCCTCCAGGCTACAATTAAGATCAAAGCTTGTTAGTAAGATTCCTACTATAAAGGTTGTTGACTGTCTGCTTCCTTCTGTTTCTCCTCATTTTTCAGCTGGTGACTGTAGTAAATAAGTCTGACAAGGGTTGTTCCTTATCGTAGATTCCAGATCTTTTGCGGCAAATCTTGCATATCCTATTGGCCCATGGAGTCTGACAAGCTCAAGACTGCTTTTTTTTGGACAATTGCACAAAAAGTATGTGCATGTTTCCAATCCTTTTGTGGCTGCCACGAAACAGTGGGAAGCAAGCAATGCAAATGTTAGCCATGTGAGTCCTGCTTCTGCACTTGGGTCCATGAGGACCAAATACTAATTGCATCAGTCTCAAAGTCAATCTCTTGATCAAATGTTGTCATGCAGGACTGAATTTTTAAAATGGGCCATTCACCCGTCTGCACAAAGTTATAAAGTCATTCAGTCACTTCTTCATATCCAGTGCCAATTTCTCATTTATTTTCTTTAACTGCAAGGCAAAGTTGCATTATTGACAAAATTGTGAACCTTGTGCTTTTAATATAGAACAAAGTTAAACAAAAGAACAACTAGATACAATTTAGGTTGCATGTAATATAAAAATGTGTTAGCCCCCTAAATTTCATTAGGAAACAAAGCTCTTTCAAAATTTTTATCTTTGGTCTTCAGATGTATCTTTGAGTTACAGCTGAAGGTTATTATTGAATCTTTTTTCAGTGTCGAACAAATATTGTGGTCAAGGGAATGGGAGGCTTATTGTGAGATGTGATAGGAAGGATGCTGTATTGTTTTCTTCCTGTTTGTTGGCACAATCATGTTCTTCCAAAAAGGAAAGAAAAAAGAAGTAGTCCTTATTAGGTCAATAGTAGTTCTTAGATTAACTGAGTCATAGTTGAAGTTTTTGTCAGATATTTTAATGCTCTTCCTCTTGAACTATTGAGTTAATGGAATATTAAATTAACTTGAGAGAATATAAATTTGTATGAAATATATCTCTAGAAATATTCATAAATATAGACATTATCTTATTTCCTTCTGTTGGAAAATGTGAAAATAGCTTGTTTTAATCTTTAAAAGCAATCCGAGTTTTTCTTGACTGGTTTAAATCTCCAATAATCCACTTATAAGTACATATAGCATCTCCTGAATAGTGCCTGTTCTCTGATTATAGGTTAACCATTCACGTTCTTCTGATTATTGGTTTCTGATTTGTAGTGTATGTTGTGGTCAAGCCAATGACAGAATGGATCAAATTATACACTTTAATAGCAGTGTGCTGTATGTGCTGGTCTTCTATTCTGAGCCCACTGTAGATAGCTTCCTATTTTTCTCAACAAGAAAGCACTTAAGTTAATTGCTCCATTAGAAAGACATAGTAGCCCTTTCTGGTCTGTAAGTATCCTTCCATGCATAGCTGCTGAAGTTTGGAACACCTGCAGCTGAAGCAATTTGAAAAAAAGCCATTAGTCTGCATGGAAAAAAATAAAGTGCTGAAGTTCAAACTATTATCAATGATGCTGTGTTGGAGCAGCCTAAAAGATTTGGCTTTTGGTCTATGCCTAGTGCTATCCAAAACAACATATAAAATTCTTTGTAAACCAATTTTAAAAGTTTCTTGTTTATTCAGAAGCAACTGTGTACACTCTTTGTTCAGAGAGTAGACTCCAGTCAATTGCACACCAGCCAACAGCTGATTTCTCCTTAGAAAGAAACATTGCCTAATATAGATCATAGAAGCCAAAGACCAAAGGGACAAAGTGCTAAAGATAAACAGCTCAATCCTCAACTGTTTGAAGGCCTCAATAAAGCCTCTGATGAACAAATTTGGGGTGGGACTCAACTGTTCCCACCTGCAAGCTTGTCTCAGAGCCTTGGCTCTAACACGGTGAGGTGCTGGTATGTGGTGTGACCTCCTGTGCCCTTAAGGAGAAAAACACTGGCTTTCTTCTGGCCCTAATCAATCAGTTTCTCTGCAGCTTTTCTTTATCATAGTTAAGGGAGGAAGAAAGTACTGACTGCTCTCATTTTATTGAGACAGTGAATGGAAAAAGCCTACAGAGGCAGTGTTGCTGAATATTGAACTGCACTTGAAGGTACTCCTCTGGTCTAATAGACTCAGAGGTGCTTTTTAGACTGCAATAGTGAGGGTCTGATTTCAGTAATTTAGTTTGTTGGATAGCTATAAAAATAGTCTCGTTTTGTGCAGCGAGGTTTGTTTTTTTTTAATAAGCTTCAGCAGTGGCTGGACTGCTAAATAGTGTGAGTGCCAGAATTCAGGTGGCTGTTTTAACCATTTTGAGCATTAATACTGTTCTTACCTGTGTCCCTGTCTTTCCACTCAAAGATGTGATACTAACTCTTGAAGTTTCAACTCTCCCTCATTTATATTTTTGGATGTGTTTCATAATGAAATTATGACTTGGTGGAGATGGGGATGTTAGTAAAATCTTAAAAAGCGGTACCAGCTTCTACAAGCTTGTGCGACCAGTTCTGTGGAGGTTCAGGCCCCAAGCTGACATGTATTTTACAGACCCCTATGTCAGTACATCTGCACTTATTTTGTTCTGGCTGGGTGTCTGGCCCAGAGTACTTAAAACAGCTGTGACTCTTTATGCTTCAGTTTTAGGTGTAGTGTTAATGGATTATTTGGGACAATAGCCACAACAGAGAAGTGGTTTGGCATTCATTTAAAAATTTACTGTTAGTGTTTCTAGTAGGACTACTTTTTCAATGTATAAAGGTAGATTCGTAGGCGAGCATGTGCAGGACTATTGGCTGGAATTTTGCATGTGTGGTGGTTATGACAATGAATTATCCTGTTGAATGATTGGTGTTTTAAAACATTATTTAGATATTAGATTGAAATGCACTTAATTTTCTCACTTTTAGAATCTACATTTAGGGTTTGGGACATAATGATGTCAACAGTAAAAATGGGAAACTTAACTTTGTTGCACCCTTGATGCTATGATAACCCTTTGATTTGTGTATATATGACATCTTCTGCCATGGAAATGACTCAAGACTGTGGATTCAAGCAAATTGCTTGAAGTTGTGTTATCAGTCTTCTACATTCCTGGAGAGAACACTCATTGTTGGCCAAGTTGAAATATTTGTAAGGTGGGGGATTTTTTGGAGTGTTAATTTGGGGAAGGGGAGCTGGACAATCTGCTTTGGCAAATCTGCTCTTCCTGTGCCCATCAGACTTTGGCAGTGCACAGCATTTCTTCCCCCACCCCCAAAAAAATCCCTGGAGCAGAAACTCTGGTAGGAACATTTATCACTTTTTACACACAAGTACTTGATCTGTGAAGAGTCACATATGCTTGGCATATTGAAAGCTGATGGGGTCATGAGAGAATATAGTAAGCAGGCAGGTGAATTGAGATGAGTTAGTTTTAAGGAGGGTGGTTTAGTTTACTTCAGCTCTTGAAGTATAGAGCGACATATCTTTTAAAGATGTTGAACAAAGTTGTGAATCCTGTGAACATACAGCTAACTTCAGGTATTCAAGGTAGGACGTCCAACTTCCTCCCCTTGAAATTCTTATTTTGGGAATATACTGGTGTGCATATGTTACTGGTTTGCCTTCAGAGTGGATAAGATGCATGCACTCATCTTATAGTAAATTAACAGGCAGTATGCTCTGATTTAGTTTCTGTATTTTCTTCTTTCATTAGTGGTAATTGCTAGTTGCTAAATAGTTAGGTAACTGCTGCTTTTTGTTGTATTCATGCTTCAGCTGTGTGGTTTATCTGTTTACTCAACACTACACTGAACTCTGTGGAAGAGTTGTGTTGGGAGATTTGTGGAAGAGGGGGTTTTTTTTGTTTTGTTTGTGTGGCTTTTTGTTGTTTGGTTTTTTTTACAAACAGGTTTTAAAAAGCAGTAAGGTACAATATTTTTGTTTGTAGTGATGTTTGTGTATGCTGTACATAATTAGTCAGACTAATTTTCATGAAGAAGCTTTTTTTCTCTTGAAGATAAGTAAATAATAGCCATTATACAGCAAAGAATCCTTAAGCTTTTGCTAATGGGTTGGAACAGTTGAATGCTTGGAGATCTCAAGCAAGGCTGAGCTCTGCTTTGTGAGGCAGTTTCTAAACATGTAGTGGTAGCATATACTCCTCTCAAAAGGTCAGTGAACACAATGAAGGAGGTAAAAGCTGGGAGAAAAAGTATTTTCATTTTATGCTCTCTTGTAAAATTGTTCAAAGATGCACAGTAAAATATGGAAAAGCTTGACAACTATATGTTGCATTTTATTATGAAATATAGAACATTCTTCTGCGTTGTATCACCTTGCCATATTTGTTTTTGTTGAAGTTGTGTATTACCACAGGTATACAAATTGTATGGAAGCTTTCCCAGGTCTGCTAACAGGTTCATCCCTTACAATGGTAACTGACCTCTTATGAATGATGTCTAAACAGAATCTTCATTTTTAGCTGTTCCACATCATTTCAGTGAAATAGTGATGTGTGAAGATGGATGCATGGGAAGAACAGTATTATGATATGAGGTGAATTTCATCTCAGGCCTTAAAGACCTTGTTAGCGCATCTTTAAAGAAATTTCCTTTCCTGTGTGACTCTTGACATCACTGTTTGACTCAGGACTGACACTTCATTCTCTTTTTTGTCATATAAATAGAAAATCCAACTCTTTTGCTTTGCTTTCTGTTATAACTGTCTACATTAAAAAGCCTCTGGTGCAGGTGGTTTTCACTGAATGTTGCTCTGCTTTGTGATAAGAATCCAATGCAACAAGCAAAAACTCCCTATTGAACTATATATACGCATCAGTACTTTGTATGCTATCTGTCTGGGTTCTGTGCAATTGTTTTACATCCTTTAAGTAAAAAAGACTAATTAAAGTCTTTTTAAAAACACTTTCTTTCAGTGGTGGACTTCTATGAAAAAATTTCGTAAGAGACTCTGTATTTTTCCAGAACGAGCAAAAAGCAGAACGGAATCTGGTAGGTAAAGGAGAATACGTGTGTGTGCTTAAACATCCTGCACGCACTACTTGTGCTTTCTGTCCTGTGCTCTTTATTGACCCATGTCCAGGCAGTTAGTGCACTGCACATCTTTAAAATGGCTTTAATTCTATAGTCACTGATTGCCTTGTTCCAGGCCTCCATGCCCCAAATATTTTATTTTCTGTTCTTGGTTACGGGTGCATGGACACACTGTAGATTTTCAGAAGTGGCCAGTTTCTTGGAAATAGAAGGCTTTTTTTTGGACTAAAACTAATTTTTTAATATTGCTTTTAAGTAGTTTTTTCGTTTCTGGCACATTTTCTGTGAATAGAAAGGTGGAGTATGACATCAGTAAAAGTATAAGCAGCATTGGTTTATGGATGTAGATAGTAAAGTCATCCCTCTTAATGTTGTTGGTGAGAATTTATGATGCTTAGCTGTATGTACGTGATTTATCTCTTACTCCTACCATAGCTTTTGAATCCTAAACTCTTCAGAAAAATATTATGAACAAGGAAATGTTATGGTGCTTATGTGTACTTAAGCTTTAAGCTGGAAAAATAAAGTTAGTGCTTTGAGTATTTGGTGATGAAAATGTAATGGGTAGTCAGGAATGCTGGAAGTGCCTAGTGACATGTTTTAGCCAAAGTTCAGCTTGGAATTCGTAGCAGGCACTTTATGTGATGTACCTCTTACTGTTTAAAAAATGCTATTTGTTAGTGCAAGGTGATCTGTGGTTTAATTAGCCATCAGAAGTAGTTAAGGTGTTGTTTCATTAACTTTATTGATATCTATAATGAATGTTTGTATTACTGACAATGCAGCTGTTGTCTAGCTGTTAATGCAGCTTTATGCTTGAAAAACAAGTCTTATATTCATATATTTTGCTGCTTTTGAATACTGTGCACTTGTCTGGACAAGGGAAAGGCATTTTCAAATGTTATTGGGTGCAGAGTTGAGCAAAGGCCAGACACAGTGCAGTCAACTTCAGTTAAAACTGTTCCTCCTAACCTGAAAATGCCAACTTTTTGGGAGACCAATGGTAGTTAAACTCTGTATCTAGATTTGGCTCTCAATGTCCATGAGCAAAGAAAGAGCTTCCCTCTACTAGTGCTTGAAGAACCGAGTCCCCTCAGGACCTGAGTTGAACCGGATCATGATAACTTACTGCTATACCTGAGATGGAAAACTGATAGAGCTTTTAATACTTAACCTGTCCAAGCATCATTGTACTCAGTGCGTGTATCTATAAATGCCTCAGCTGTGTTTTTCCTGCTTTTATCAATACATGCTATTTTTAGTGTGTGAGTGAACATGTAGCCCTTTTACATTCAGTTCATTCGTCTAAAAAAAAAAAAATAAATTTAAAAGCCCCAAACAACTGAACACCCCAAAACAAACTCTCCAGGTACTGGAGAACATGAAGCATTTTCAATGAAAATACTGTATGTCAGTGTTAACTTCAGAATTGGCTGTTTCTTCATTATTCTCCAGAGCAAATTGCCAAATGCAGTTTTAAAGTTCTTGAGTACTGTGAGGATTCATTATTGTCACGTTATAAATAAATTCATGGGATTCTTTAGAAGGTCTTATGTCAAGTACAGGTTGCCAAGTTGCTTTGATATTAAGCAAAAAATTCACTGTAGCATCATAAATTTCATTGTCTGCAGCATCCAGTTTTTAAATTTCTTTGGTTGCTGGCATCTACTACAACCCCTGCCTTGCAGTGAAGCTTAGTAGCATGCTTTCATATGGCAGTCTTCCAGATGGATATTGATTATTTTGACTTATATTCTGTGTGCTATATATTGGCTGATAGTGGACAGTAAGTTAAAAACATAGCCATGGGGAAGTGCTTGTTTATTGTAATTTTCTGTTCCCCAGCTTCCTGATACTTAGTTTCTTAATCTGGACTGTTCAAATATATTTGATTGTTGGCACTGTGCTTTTAAACCTTACTTATTGTAATCCACTTTTCTGTTTGGAAATATCACCAGTTCTCTGAAAAACTGAATTTGTGGAGGAAAGTAAAATAAAATTCTATGTATGCTTATATTTGTGGGTTTTTTTTGTTGTTGTTTTTTTGTTTTGTTTTTTGGTGGTTTTTTATTTTTTCCCCTGAAGCTAGTTACGTAAAACTGCTAAGCACTTCTGGAAAATAAGCCATTGTTTTTAACAAGATTATCTTACTTCCTAAACAGGTGTCTGGAAAATGGAGAAGACTTTGAACAGAATTCATCCTGTTTCTGATCCAGAAGCAACATATTTTCTACAAGTATCATGGGAAAAAGATTTAGGAACTGGCTTTGGTATAATACTTAGTGATGGTCAATGTGCATGGACTGGGACAGGTAATAATGGAAAGAATAAGAATTGTTCTAAATTATTACAGTTCTTTATCATTATTCGTAAACACTTTCTGAACTGTGACCCACAACTTGTATCAAGAACTTTTTATGAGTATTACCTCTCCCCCGTGATGGAGGAGGTGGGGGTCATGATCTTCTGGGACGTTTTCAGAGATCTTTCAAATCTGGGAAGATTGTGTGTCAAACCTAATGCTAATTCATTTAGCATAGGGATATGCAATGTTTTGTTTTTTCTCAAGAATATAATTTCTTGCAGTGATATTGGAATACGACTTATGTGTCTTCTCCAGGTCCTTGAACAAATATGTCATACAAGTTCTGTTTGCAAATTATAGTTCATGAAGCATTTAATTGCATATGTTTTTAAAATGTTTTCATAAAATCTTAAGAATTAAATGTAGTTGTATTTGGTACTCAGGTGAATTTTTGAGAAGAATGGACAAGAAAATACGTTTTTCCTGGGCGTAAGTTATCAGAAGAAAAAAAAAGAACCGGCCTATGCAATTCCCCCCCCCCCCCCCGTCCTCCCCGTCCCCTGAAACCTGAATAAGATGATGGTTGTCTTAATATGTGCATGCTTCTCTCATTCACACCTAGTGAAAGAAGGAAATATTTGTGTGTTCCTTTAGAAATGTGTCAAATACTTGATCAAAAGCCCTTCTCTCAGTGGCAAAAATATTTCAAAGGGAGGAAAGAACGATATATTTTACAGCGTATTGTAAGCAAAAATGTTTTCCTGACTTTTTCTGAGTTATAAGACTAGATTTCCGTGTAGTTTCTTCCTTCCTTCTCCCTGTCCAATAGATGTTGTTTTTCCCCAGTTCCTACATAAGTCAAGCTTTCACATAGGCCTGATATAAATATAGATATAAAAATAAAAAAAATTATATAAATAAAATAGTGCTTTTTGTATGTATATACATGTATACAAACTATATATATTTGTGTGTATATATATAGTTCCTGTGCATAAAAAGAAGCTTAATCATTCATTAACCTTCTTTTGAATGCAATTGTTACCTTTCTCTTCTTTCAGACCTAGGGAACAAGACTTAAGTTAAAATATGTCCACGTATGTATTAAATCTGCTCTTCCATATTCCCTTTAACATTTCAGACACACTTTTGATTAGGAGTTCCTGCAAAAGACAAATACATACATTCCAATGCTGGTTCCCTGTAGTCTGGTATGAAGGGTTTTTCTTTCTTGATTTGGTAATAGTATAGTGAAACTGTATATTTTCAAAATAACAAAAAACATTTTACCATTGATAAATACTTAAATAATTAAGCATACTAGTTTTTTTTTGTTTAAAAGCTTTTCTGGTTGTTCTTGCATAACTTTAAAATCCCCAGCTTAAAATTCACAAAAAGCTCATTCTTTAAATCCATTATTTTTCTAAGTAAAAGCTATGTTACTATAACTGAAAGAGTATAGAAAAAATACGTAAACACAGTTCTCATTTTGTTAACTTCCTGCATCTGGCAGAATGGCTGGATGATCATTTTCCAAAACAGAGGACCAGTGAAAGCAAGATGAGCTCACTCTGTTAAAAGAAAAGAAGGAAACACACAACAGTTTAGCATGAGCACTGGGTACTCATCCAAGGAGAGTGCTTCTGTTTCTTGTGCAAGAATCTGATCCATTTCTAAGGAATTCCTGTTGAATTTGTAGTCCTTTCAATAATTTCATTAGGAGTTGAAGTTCTTGTGCATGAGGCTTTCCTACTGCACAGATCTGGGTTTTTGTACACTCAACGTTGTTTTTGATCACTTTTTCTAAGTTACTACATCATGTTTGAGACTGCTTAGGTTCTAAATTCAAAACCTGGGAGGAGGGAAAGCAGTGGTCAGAAAATTCTTGTTAGGGAAATCCCTTTTGGGTTTCTCACACTGTGGATTATTTTGCTTGGCAAGACCTACCAGGAAGTGAGTGAGAGTTGCTGATGGAGTTGTCTTTTACGGTTTTTGTATGTTTAATGTGATGATGAAAAGTGTTAGGAGTCCTATTTAAGGAGGAAAAAAAAAATCTGGCGGGAGGAGAAGCACACAAATATGCAATATGATCTGATGTATTCACTTGGTATTGGGTTAAAGAACTACAGATATATGGACTTATACATTTCATGTTTCTCTAACGATTGATCAGTTCTGCTAGTTCTATAAGATAAAGGAACATGCAGCATGTACAGGCACCACAGGAGAAAAAACCCACAGTGCTCTATTACAGTATATGAGTGACTTTGGTTTCTTAGCTTTCTTATTTTCATTAAAAGTTTATCTAATTTTTCTCAGTTTTTAAGTAATTATTCTAAAGAAACACTTGTTTTTGCAAGTATTTCCGACTTTTTTTTTCTGCTGCTCTTTGCCTTGTACTGCAAGGGTTTCCACATTTCTGTCTGTACCGTTTCAGGGGACTTAAGGGAGTTGCTGACATACTAGTGGCCTTTTCTCTCTCAACTCTGTATAGTGTCCTGTACAAGAAATAAGCTAGATAATGAGAAAATGATTGGTGTATGTAGCGTAAAATAGAAATGTTTTAACGGCAAATTTCTTCTTTTCTTTCCCACTCAATTCTTGTTATTTGTAGTGGATTGTTAGCTCTGCAAGATGAGTGTTGACCAGCCCTGTAGCCCCAGTCGGTCACTGACTTGGAGGCTTAGCTTTTTTCCTGACAGTAGTTTCACTGTATCATTTTTTATATGAAAATTACAAGTGCTGCTTTGGGTTTTAAAAAACAAAGATGGAACTGGCAATTGTTAAAGGCTTAAGCCTTTCTGATAACATCCATTTCATCCTTACAATAAGCTTTAAAAATCTTGGAAAATACTTTTACTACTTCATCTAGGATATTTAAATGTGTTCAGTTATGTTGAGGCCGAGGGTTGAACACTTGGCTTACAGTGATGTAGGGAAGAACTGATATCATGTGCAATGGCTAGTGTAAGTTAACAGCATCCAGCTTTGCAGGAATGTTTGTAACAGTACCAAGTCCTGTTCTGAAATTCATACCTGTCAGTCTTAATGCGTGAGGATTCATGCACAACTGACTTTGACTTAGCAGTTGCTTGCTTGGAGGTCTTTTCATATTTGCAGTGCTGCCTGCATGCTGGCTTTGCTCTTGTTCATGTCCCTGTATGCCAGCTGCAGCTGTGTCTGGTATATAGGAAAGGAGGCAGTGATGCAGCATTGTAGCTAAATAGTGTGGCTTTGCACTCAAAAGTCCTGTTTGTAGGACAAGTACTAGCTGGCTATATACGTGGCCCTCTGCCTTAGCCTCTTTCCCTTTATGTATTAGGAACGGGTTTTACATATTAGGAAGAAAGATGGTTGTGATGTCCATGCAGTGAAAAAAAGAGTTCTGATACACCTTTATCCATTTGTCTCTCTCTGTGCCCTGTGTTCCCTTTCATAAAGATTTTTTTAAACCCCAACTTAGTGAAGAGGGCTGCTGCTTACTTTTGCTCTGTTTAAATTTGTCTTGTTGAGTTGTAGGAATAAATTTGAAAAGTGTAACCCATTCTTCAAATGATGATAAAATCTAAATGTTTTTGAATCTTTAGTTTATTAGGTGTCTCAGTATTTCAGTGCCCTACAGCTCATCAGTATTAGGCTGTGTACAAAACCACTTATGTATGATTGTCTGTTATATCTGCTGTAATGGACAGCAGAATACAGTTTCCATTTTGGGAGATGTGATTTTATGAAGAGCACACAGCTTGAGTTTACAAATCTGTGGGGACACACAGTAATAATATGCCACACTTCTCCCTGGCCTCTTTTTTCCACCCCTCTCCATTGTTTTTTTCTTTCTCTGCAGTATAGATAATGCAACTTAAAATGTAAGCATAGAAGCATCTTTTCCAATCTAGAAATACTGATTATGAAGTTATTTTATTTCTGGTTTATTCTAATGCATGCTCCACAGTACTCCTATATTCTTTTTAATGTATAATGGCATTTCTGCGATTTTTGACATTTGTTGAATATTTGTGGTGTTGCATACCTGGTAAAATGCTATCTATTGTGCCTTGTCCTTTTACTTTATGTTAGGCTAGTATAAGTGTGACAGGTTTCCTCTTTTATCTTTAAAAGAAGAGGAAGCAGACAATACTCAATTTTTAAGCGTTTTCTCTTAAGGAGAGTATGGGCAGCTTTGTGACAGACTTCAGACTGCTATGGGCCTGACATTTCCCGTCTTAGTCTAACAAAGACTGACTTGCTCATATTTATTGAGCCTAATTCCATCTTTTTTTTTTTTTCTCTTATGACTCCAGAATAGTTCAGTTCCCTTGTGTCCCTTTGCTTTCTAGCTTTTGAAGGACCTAACACATTTGAATCTGTCGAGGAGAAAATGCCTTGTGCTGGGGAATAACTAATGTGATTCTGACCCACTAATTTATCCTTCTAACTGAGTGTATCTGCAGGCTCAGATTTTGCACAGAAGGGGATAGTTTCTCCTTGTGTCAACTGTTTGTTTCCTTGCAGTGGTGACATTAGCATGCTCTCTTTTGCCACCTGCATTTCCTTTTTCACCTGGCTGGTTGCCTGTGTCTTAGAGTAATAGAGTGGGCTGTTAGTGCCTGACCTGCCTTACCAGATTTTGCAGATATATGGTAATCAATTAAGGTCATTAGCAAGGTAGTATTAAAAAAGAAAAAAAAAAAAGGCACAAAAACCCTAACAAAAAACCCCAACAACTCCCCCTTAGTTAAGTCTAAGATCAGTAACATCTACATTTTTTCCATGTTGTGAGATGTGTAGAGAGGAGGACTACAAAAGCTAATACTTACAAAGAAGGAAGAGGGGGTTGGGTAAGTCGAAGCTGGGGGCAGCCTTTGGCTGCAGTGGCTATTGAGTTAGGGGAGTTCAGGATTGTGAGAGGAGGGAACAGAGTAAAAAGCAGAATAACAGCGCTAAATTTTAGGAGAGCAGACTTTGACCTCTTCCAAGCTCCCTTTAAAAGAATCCCATGGGATATGGCTTCTTTGTCTTAGTCTTTGCTGGTTAAGATTTGCCTTTAGAAATCCCAAGCCCCTTACTCAGATCAGTGGGAAAGTCAGAAGCAAAGGAGACTTACCCTTGGAGGAGGATGAGGTTAGAGAATGTCTTAAGAAACTGGATGTACCCAAGTCCATGGGACCTGATTGGATGAAACTCGGAGTACTGAGGGATCTGCCCCATGTCATTGTGAGGCCACTCTTGATTGATTTTGCAAGGTAATAATAGTGATCAGAGGGTGTTTTCAAGGACTGGAAGAAACGTCTCTCTTACCTTGGGGAAGGGTAAGGGGATGGATCTAGGTAACTGGAGGCTGGTCAACCAGAGGGTGTTGGAGGAATAATGCTGGAAGCCATTTTGAAAAATGCTAAGGACGAGATGATGAGTAGTCAGTATGGGTTTACAAAGGGGAAGTCACACCTGACCCACCCGATAACCTTCTCTAAAGTTTCAAGCTTGTTGAATGAGGGAACGGCAGTGGATGATGTTTATTTTGGCTTTAGCTAGCAGGGGTTTCAACACCGTGTCTTCTAACATCCTCATAGACAAACTCGTAAGGTGTGGAATGTATTGAGCTCAGCCAGTTCAAGCAGATTTCAAAGGGTTGTGATCAGTGGCATGAAGTCTAGCTGGAGGCCAGTTACTAGTGGTCCTGTACCACAGGGGTCAATACTGTGTCCAGTACTGTTAACGTCTTCATTAATCATTTGGATGATGACGCAGTGCATCCTCAGCAAGTTTACAGATGATGCAAAACTGGGGGGAAGGGTTGATAGAGGATTGGGTTGCCATTCGGAGGGACCTGAACAGGCTGGAGAAATGGGATGACAGGAGTCTCATTAAATTCAACAAAGGGAAATGCAAAATTGTATACCTGGGGAGGGGGAAGCCCCCAGCCTGTACTGGTGCTTTGGGTGACTGGCTGGAAGCAGATCCCTGGTTGAAAAGGACTTGGGAGTCCTGGTGGGCAAGAAGGTGAACATGGGCCAGCAATGTGGCCTCGTGGCAAAGGTGGCCAACAGTCTCCTGGGCTGCATAAGGAAAAGTGTTACCAGCAGGTCAAGGGAGGTGATCCTTCCCCTCTGCTGAGCCCTGGTGAGACCTGTGATGCAGTGTGCAGTTCTGGGCTCTCCAGTATGAGAAAGACATGAACTTAGGGAATTGAGTCCAGTGACAGTCCCTGAAGATGACTGAAGTACTTGAGCATCTGTCCTGCCAGGAGATGCTGAGAGAGCTGGGACTGTGCAGCCTGGAGGAGAAAACGCCTAAGGAGATTTTGTCAGTGTGTATTAATTACTAACCGATGAGAGGGAGTAAAGAAGTTGCAGCCAGGCCCTCCTCAGTGATGTCCAGTGAAAGGATGAGAGGCAGCGGGCACAAACTGAAATACAAGGAATTCCATTTAAACACTGGAAAAAAACTTTTTACCGTAGGGTTTACCAAGCACCGGAACAGATTGCCTGAAAAGTATAGTCCTTGGAGAAATTCAAAACCCATTCAAAACATGGTCCTGAGCAACCTTTGTAGTTGACCTTTCTTTGATCAGTGGAGTTAGACTAGATGATCTCCAGAGGTCCCTTCCAACCTCAACTACTCCGAGTCTGTGAAAATAAGCAAAAATTACTGAAGTTGCAGAATTAATCCAGAAATCCTGAAGTCTGTGAGGATATAACTATTCATAGCAAATAATTGTACATTTACCTCTTTGCTGTATTTTTATATGATGGATTGATTTGATATGTACTGCCTCTTTTGCAATATGAGGGTAGCTACTGTGTCAAGAAGAAGATTGGAGAAAAATGAGGCAATTTGAACAGGCTCATGTTTGATTGAAATGCTGTTCTATTTTTATTGGTATGATTTCAGTGCATACGTCTGTGCAGGCTTACGTCTCTGTGAAACTCTTCAAAAGCATTTGTATAGAGAAGAAATAGTTATTAATAGGGGTTTTAAGTGGGATGCTTTAAGTCACTTGCAGTTATGTGAAGGATGTATTTTGGGTTTTGTTTTTTTGGGGGGGTTGGTATGTGTGGTTTTGTTTGCTTTTTTGTTTTGTTTTGGTGTGGGTTTTTTGTTTTTTTTTTTTTGTTTTTTTTTCCCCAGGCTGTCACAAACTAATGTCGTTTTGCATATCTTGAGCTTTCAAATGCTGGGCAAATGCTACAAAGGTCTAAGAGCAAGCAGGGGTGGATGACAATCTAGAGCAGTCTTCCTCAGAAGATTTGTCAGAGGAAAAGGAAACACTTCTGTTAAGTAAACATCTAAAATACTGTATCAATAGGCTACACATTAAAGCCTGCATTACATTATACACATCCTATATTTAATTTGGTGTCTTTGCTTGTATCTGCCTGTGCAAGAAACTCTGCACTCCTCATTGAGATCATTATTCTAATTAACAATTGATCTCTAAAAGTACTGAGGAAACAGTATGTAGAATAAAATTGAAAGGAAGGAAAATAAACAGGGGCCCAGGTGGTAAAATCAAGAACTGTTTCTTGGTACTCCTAGTGAATGAAGATTTAGGAAATAAATGATCAGAAGCAGATAGAAAAGGCTATCAGTGTTCTCAATGATAGTAATCTTTGGCCTGTTCTATACTGTATTCAACCATTCTTCATCTTCAAAGGAATGGAATAAAATTTTCTTCATAGACCTGATACAATGCAAACTGGAGACATATCTCCCATTTAGTGGTCCTTGAATGTGAACACTAAAACATGGATTCTCAAGTCTCTAGGTGTAGATTTGTTTGTAAATTGACAGTTTGTTTTTTTTTTAAGGTTGTAAGTTACAAACTTGGAAAACTGGATCTAGAATGTGTGAGGAGTCAGTTGCATCTGTTGTCTTACAGGGTTTAGATTACACGCTTTCAAAGAGAACTGAGCGGGCACAGTAGATCATAATTAAAACATTCCACTCTCTTGTAAGGTTAGTGTTATGCAGAATAACTTTAGGCAAGTAGAATTGTGGACTAGTAGCAATAAACCATTTTCAGACAGGAAAAAAGGGACAGAACTGAATTCTTATGAAAAACACACTATTCCTGCTACATTTCCGTTAGTGTCTGGCACACTGATACATGTGAAGGAAAGAATAGTCTCCTAATATTTGCCTGTCCCTTAAGGTGTGTAAGTGTGTCTGTATGTACATATAAATATCTATACATGTTCACACACACATGAGTATTTATTTCTCACATTTCTTTCTGATAGTGTCTGAAGCTGAAATTTCTAGGGAGGCTGCTGACATGGAAATGAATAGAGAAAAGTATGTTGAAGAACTGAAGAAAGCATTGATAGCTGGAGAAGAATCAGCTGACAAATACAACTTTGCTGTTTCAAGAGATGAAGAAAATATGGAGTGTCACTTCTGCTATGAAAGAAATCTGAAAGATGGCTCTGTAAGTAGTTAAATGTTTAAATTTGACAGTTAAACTATGAGAAGGACCTTCTTGGTACATTTCTGTATTTTGTTAAGTTCTTTAAAGTCAAATAGACCTGTGATATATATGTTTTGGATTGAATGAATATTTTGAACTCTGCCATGGGCCAAACTAGAAACAAGTTTGTGGTATCAGTAGAACTATTGCTGTGTTGCTTTCTTAAATGCTACTGAGTAAGAGTATTACTTCTGTATATAAGTCTTGGATTAGTGTAGTGATAGGACAAGGGGTAATGGCTTTAAACTGAAAGAGGGTAGATTTAGATGAGATGTCAGGAAGAAATTCTTCACTGTGAGGGTGGTGAGACACTGGAAGTGGTTGCCCAGAGAGGCTGTGGATGCCCCATCCCTGGCAGTGTTCAAGGCCAGGTTGGATGGGGCTTAGAGCAACCTGGTCCCGTGGAAGGTGTCCCTGCCCATGGCAGGGGCTTTGGAACTAGATGATCTTAAGGGTCCCTTCCAACCTAAACTATTCTGTGATTCTGTGATTTATGTTTTGTTTTTTTTTAAGCAGAGTATGCCTACATGTTGGAGCTGCAGTTCAGTGTTAAGCTAATGTGTTCCATAAGCTGAGATTTTGTCTTTAATTCCTAATTTGCGAAGTATGCTTCCCTTTTGAAATTCCAGCCCTCAATGCATTTCTGCTTTGCTTGCTTTTTCTTTCTTCTCCCTCTATACTCACCCAAATAAGGGAAAATATTAAAATTTAAGGAAGATTATTTTCAAATGCTAAAACATACTGGAAAATGAACTTTTCTATTACTTTAAATATTTTAGAAGCTAACACTAAAATTGTTTCCTGCTTGGAAATGCATTAAATTGCAACTGGGAATGTGGTTCCATGTTGGTTTCTTGGCTGCAAAGGAAAGGACCCTCTTAAAGCAAGAAAGAAACCAGTATAACCTGTATCTGTAGGCACCTTTGGTTGTTTCAGGTTGTGGTTTGGTGTTAAAGCTTTTCTGGGGAAGAAACTAGTTTAAGGTAATCCTCCTTGCTTTTTTTGGTTTTTTTTTTGTTTCTTTTCTCCCTCCTCCAAAAATTAATGCTCTGCCTTTCCTAAGGTTTGACACAGCTTCAGTTGTGCAAGGATAGCAGTTGGGGTGACGGACCACTCAGCAACATTAGTGAAATAATTTGGGTTTAAAAAGCACTGATTTAAAATTGCATTGATCCAGTTCAGGGCGCAGTTCTGCAATCAGTTTCACTGACATTATTGAGGGGAAGAAAATAGTGGGGAGAGAATGGAGATGAGATTGCAGATTGAGAAGAGTAGGAATGTCTTTGGCCAGATCTTTTTTTTTTTTTCCCTGGGGAAAAAATCTAGCATGGAGTTGTTGTGTCTGGGAGCTAAGTGTCTAGAAATTGTCCTACCTGCTTTGTTTTAAAAGATTTCTTTTTCAGACCATTGGGACCTGCTTTGCTTCTCATTTGGTTAATTTTGGCAGGTATCACCATTTAAGAAACTAGCAGAGGTGTCTGACTTATAACAAAAACCGAAACCAAAACAAAGAAACTACCTTCTCTGGGCTGTGTCTGTTGGAAGTAGAAGGTGGAAATACTTTTTCCCTCTAAATTGGAAATAGGCAAAGAATGCAGTATAGATATTGGTCACAAACCTGAAATAGGAGTATGTGTTTATTTCGTGTATGTGTATCTCTTAGATGAGGAGAAAGTCACTTTAAAGAGGGGACCCATTCATATTACCTACTCAGTAGCAGCTCACTTATGTGCTTATTGTCAGAGTCTTGGCTTCATTTTAGTAAGCAGAGGAAGAGAGATTCAGTGGAATGAAGTTCTGTAATTAAGTACTCTTAAGAACCCGTCCTTTTTCCGTGTGCAATATAGGAAATTTCAGCACATTTGGCTCTTGACTGAGGTGCCAAAAGTTAGGTGACGTAAGTCTTTGAGTCTGCATTATCAATATTTCTGTGCTTTTACCTAGGGCCATACGGGCTCTATACCCGCTTCTTGACACTTCTTGTGAGGACACAGGGCTGTGTGCTGTTCACAAAGTGTCTAGGTAAAAAGTACTATATTACAGCAGGATTACAAAGTTGAGACCAAATTGTACTTAGAAAATAAGAGCAGTAATTTTAAGAACCCTGTCTTTCTTGTCTGTGTCACACATAATATATTCTAAATACCAGACAGATGAAATACATACTGTATTTTTATTACAGGAAAATATCTTCATATATGTGGGCGCACCTAATATATGTTTCCATCAATTAAGGCTTATGAGAAATTTAATTCATATGAAAACATCTCTATGTCAATTTGGGAAAATAATAATCTGGCCAAAGAAATTGAAAATACAAAGTGTCCTGATTGCTATGCATGTTTTTAACTTTGGGTGTCAAAAGAATGTTTTTAGAAAAGATGTCATTTCTTGGGTGAAAATACACCTTTTTTTCCTCCTGTACTAAACTAATGCCTACAAATAAAATTGCCAAAGCTTTTGTCAGAATTACAAATAGCTTTCAGGTGGATAACAGGATATGTTCCAAATACATTGCAAATTCTCTGTGAAAGTATTCATGATGTGCATCTTTCACCATCAGATTAGGAAATTAATCTTCCTGGGCTCTGTACATCCAGAGGGCTGCATTTACTCCAGAGAAAGCCTAGAGAAATGGCTCTGCAACTTAAACATGACTTAAATTCAGTGTTTGTCCCTTAGTAGTACTTATTCTTCTTACTGGGTATTGTCTTTACATCTTTTGTTTAGTCGTTATGAATATTTTCTCTTTCTCTTCATATTTCAGCAACTGTATATATACACAAATTACAGCCTTCCTAATCTTGGGAAGAGTGGAGAGAGGAAGAAACAATAATGGTGATGTGTGTGTGGAGAGCGGTGCTTTAGGTTAAACTGTGCTGCATTTCTTTTGTTAGATATGCTACCTGTAGTTATACTGAGAGATCTAGTTAGTCTGCATGTTTTTGTTTAAAATGTAGGCATAAAGGAAAAGGAGCAATCATTTCCAATTATGACAGTAGTGCACATAATACTGCTTCCAAGTTCCCTATTTCTTCTTTCCTACCCCGTTATATTATTAATCACCATTGTGAGAAGGTCCATTAAATTATCAGGAATAATTAGAAGATCACTATTCTTAACCCAATGTTATTATCTTTTGATATATAACAAAAGGAGACATTACAGAACAGTAGGCATGAAGATGTGGTTGGTTGTGTTTGAATAACTGAATGTTTTCCTTAGTCTTAAATAATACAGTTAACACTTTTTAGTTAAAAAAAACCCCAGACTTCTGAAATGCATTGTTACACTTTGTGAGCTATAAAATGCTTATCAATTCATGCAGTTCTCTATTATTGCAAATTTTTTCATCCAAGGAGTACACAGGTGCCTAAGAATAAATTTTGTACTCTTGGAACTTCAGTATACCTTTTGTTAGAGGTATATGCATGCTTGTATACACAAACTGGATAATTTTAATTAATTTTAATGAAACCTACCCACAGCATGATGTTGGTCACCAACAGTCACCTATACCCATCGCAGCCAGTAATTTTCAGTGCACTGCTCTGCTGTAGTTCTCCATCCAGTCTGGGTAAACCACTGCTTCCTATCAAAAATTAAGCGTAGAATTTCTACAAAATAATTTGCCTTTTTTCTTCTGAATACATCGTAGATTCAGTTGAGTTGCGTCCTGGGCCCTTATTTACAAATTATATTTACACAGTCTATAAATAATTGCTGGCTGAAAAGTCTGCGAGGTTTAGGTGTGTGGTGGGTATACCCCAAATGGAATGAGCAGTTAAAAGCATCTTAAAGAATTCACAATGGTAAATTCTTGCAGCTTGTAAGTCAAGCTGCTTCTTATTCTGTCTCCTTGTTAAGAAAATTAATATTTATTTGTAGATACTATAGTTTAAATGAATAATCTCAAATAACATTCTTGATGCATTTATAATTCACACTAGTTAATAGTAGTATGGTATTTACTAATTTTTGTTACTTTAATTCACAAGAGAGTGTGTCTGAGAGAGCAGAAAAAGAGCAATAGCTTGCAACTAATTTTTTCTTTTAATATCTCATCCATGTGGGAAAATTGCACTGCTACATCTGTGTACACCATCTTGGTGTATCTGTTGATCCATGTTACTTGCAAATATCCACACATGAAACGTACTCTGTACATGATTAGCATGCTTGATATATAGACTAGGAGCTTAGTGAACAGATCTAATTTGTCATAAATAACGAAAGCTTTCATTGGTAGTGCATTAGAAGTTAGTGTTTACAATTTTAAGACTTAAAAAGCAGTGTTTACAGTGTTACAGATCAGTAATTTAATCATTATTGGCTGATGTGAAGTAAAGTTAGCTATGTCACCAATGTCACTTGATTTTTCTCTTGATGAGCATAATTTTCAGCTTGGTAATTACTAATGTATATATAATATAAAATTTATGGACATATACGTGATTTTCAGGGGCTTAGTGAATGTATAAATCTGAAATACTCTGTTTTCAAAAGTCATCTTTTTTTTTTTTTTTTTTTTTTTTTTTTAGTTGTGTGCTTGCGTATTTGTTTTCCAGTCTTCTGGTAGAGAAAATATGTAGGTGATTTTAGACTAGTGACTGGTAATAGTCACTTGAGGATGATAAAATGTGTTAGATACTGAATTTTTTTTTCCATAACTGTACTAAACTGTGGTATTAGAAATAATTTTTACCTTCTTTGGAGCAGCTTGCTAAAGATCTGCTTCTCTAAAATATAATTATGTGCCAAAACTGTATTGGGTGGTCTATAGAAGTGCAAATAAAAATAATGGAGTGGTGTTAAGCAAAGGAAAGTGTAGGCATATTATTGGGAAATATTTTCTGATGTTGAAATTTGTTTTACTGCTGAAGTGTTTGCCAGAGGAAGTGGTAGCAGCCCCATTGCGTCAGTCACTTAAAAACGGACTGGACAAAGGAATGGAAAATGCA